TATGAACTCCTTTATATTTAAAAAGTAGGAATCCATAATTCTTTTAAATTCTATCGTGAATTTTTACTAGAATATTTATCTTAAAATGATGTTTTATTATAGAATTACTCTTGTACGGTATACTAAAATATATTCAAACTACCATTTATATGAAACCAGTATTAAATAGTATTTTTGAGATGAGCTACTTCTCTCTCAGATCATTTTCGCAATGTATATTATATTAGCACAGGACTAAATTCATTATACTATTAACTTCACATATATTACAGAAGTATTAGGTGAATGCATTTTTATTTTGAATTTATTATGCGTATAATAATAGTAGCCACTTGCTATTTATTGCTATGTGTAGGCACGGCTTGTATGCTTTATACATATTAACTTATCGACCGTCTATGCAGTAGGTGCCATTGCCCTTTGTTTTACCCATGAGGAGACTAAGGTAGAGAGAGGTGAGGTGACATACCCAAGGTCATGGGCTACTACGTGGAAGAGCTGGGATGAGAAGCTCCGTAGTCTGACCTTCAAAAACTAGCTCACATGCCCAGATGTAAAGCACTATACCTTAAATTTCCATTTTTCCTTCACTAGATCCCTTCTCAATAGAATTCCTTTCACATTTGTTCCTAAAATAGCCTGATGATGGGGGAAAAAGAGAAGGATATGCAGTGTCTGAAGGGAAGAGGGTAATATAGGAATGTTTGGGAAGAGTAAAAGGCAATTATTAATGAAAAATAAAACCATTATGTTTAGGAATTATTTGAAAAATAACATATTTGTGAAAATCTTAATGTATAAACAGAGCCTTTCTGAAACCAGCTCTTTCCTTAATTAGGTAGTTGCGTTTTTTAGAATTTTTAATTTAGTGGTTAAAAAATAGTTATCAACTTGGCTGGCTATAACTCAAAGGTTTAAGTGTGAGATCCAGTCATCATTAGAGTTAAAATGGGTAGAGTTTCTTATTGTTGTTATTATCATCAGTGTGAGACAGTTGATTAGGAGTGGGTGACAGAGGATGGACCAGAAAGAGGGGAGGGATGGGGCAAATGGTAGGTAAAAAATTAATTAGCAGAGAGGGATGGGGGGCTTGAGTTTGTCAGACGTTTTGCATCTCATTCCTCAGGGTTTCGGAGTTAACATGTTTTATCTCGACATTTTGTCCTAGTTGCCGTGTCCTTAAGGAATCAAAAGGTCATTTTACCCCAGACGCCAGATGCTTACCAGGTATCTGTTGCAAAAAGTGTCTCCATTCCAGAGCTCAGCGCTTTCACACTCTGCTTTGAAGCCACCCAAGTTGGCAATGACGACAGTGACTGGACAGCTTTCACTTACTCAGATGCGACCTTCACACACTTGCTCAGTTTTGGAAAGGCCGAGAGTGGCTACTTTCTATCTATTTCTGGCTCAAAATGCTTGCTGAACAGCGCCTTCCCTGTCACGGAAAAAGAAGATATTTTCTCAGAAAGCTTCGAGCAGCTCTGCATGGTGTGGAATAATTCTTTGGGCTCTGTTGGTGTCAACTTCAAAAGAAACTATGAAACAGTTCCATGTGATTCTACTATTAGTAAAGTTATTCCTGGGAATGGGAAATTGTTGTTGGGCTCCAATCAAAATGAGATTGCCTCCCTAAAAGGGGACATTTACAACTTTCGACTTTGGAATTTTACCATGAATTCCAAAATCCTCTCCAACCTCAGCTGTAATGTGAAAGGGAATGTGGTCGACTGGCAAAATGACTTTTGGAACGTCCCGACCCTAGCTCTGAAAGCGGAAAGTAACCTAAGCTGTGGTGAGTCTGTGGCATACTCTTTTTTTTTTTTTGTAAGCATTGTTTGATGAATGTGTTTGTCAGTAAGAATTTATACATACAGGCATGTGTGTATACATATAC